AGTATAACTACTGATTATTACTGAAAGTCAAGCTACCTCCTCATTTACTTGTTGCCATATTTCAGTCATTGGATTAACATCTTCAAAGGTAAGACCAGTGATGTGGTTATGTTCAAGCAAATTACCGATCCACTCCGTCCGTTTTCTTTTTTTTTCTTTTTTTTTTTATCAATTATCTCAGTTGCTATTTTTGTCTTCGATCGTGCAAATCACACCCTCAAGAAAATGAAAAGGTTCACGTGTACAATGGGTCAGTTTTTACGCACAGATAGCTTATTAAAGACAGAAGCTTTAGTTGTACGCTCCAAATCCTAACGAACTAAAAGGGATGAACACTGAAGCCTGGCGTTTTCGAATAAACAAAGTAAGATGTGTCATTTTTGGATGCTCAAATCCATCATTAGTTAGAAAAGTGTGACGTGCCAAACCAAAATACAGTCACTAAGTTTTTTTAGTATTTTTGGCTTCGATCATGCAAATCACACCCGCTAGAGATACGCACGCAAAGATAGCTTAGCGTTAAAAAAGAAACTTAGGATCGATCTGTTCCACGTTCAATTACATCGTGTGTGATAAAAGTTGGACGTACAAAACCGAAATACTGTGTTCTTATTAACTGAGTGGTAGGGCCGGAAGGAATTTATTTGGCTCGGGGTCATGACTTATGGACCGAGCGCAGCGAGGCTCAAGCTTCATCACCCAGAGCCAAATATTTTCTCCACTGGCCCCACTAGATTCGGTCAATAAGCATTTTATCACATGACCACTGACCATTTTCAACGTTAATGGGAAGCGATAGACGGGCATGCGAACGCGCAAAAAATATGCAATTTTATTTCGAGTAGCCTAGAGCGGGAGGGGAATAACCGAAAACACACGTGATCTAGATACCTAAAACGCCGTGACAGCGGAAGTTCGGAAGGTTGAGAAAAGTGCGGAGTGTAATTCATTATTTTTGTGGTTTCATTTTGAAAGCATCAGCCACATTGTCAACATCTTGGTAAGTGCGATTGAAAATCTTTCCTATTTACTCGGTTTTTATCAGCCTTAGTCATTTAGTAACTGTAGAGAGGTAAGGCTCTCATGGCAAAGCCCAGTAGCTGCTTTTTCGAGCTTTGTTTTTGCAATATGTAGTTATGTCTCGTTTCGAGCGTTAGCCCTTCATTTAAGCGGTTGATGGCGCCATTGAATCGCCACCACAGTGAAATAAATTCGTTATGCAGCGGTCTTCTCAAATCTCTGTAGCTTTATACCGTTTAATTTATCCTCATTAACTAATGTTATTGAGTATCGTTCAATTTGAGAAATTGATGATCATAAAACTAAAATCAGACCTTTATTTATGTTGTGGACTGTCCCTTGCTGAAGGAAATCCGTGGTGCTTGATCAGGTGGTTTTCCAGTGGCTAGGACTCTACATCAGCTATCAACTTGAATCTGTTTAGGAGGGTTGAACGAACGATTCAGAGATCGCACTACATTCGAAATGCCATATTTCTACTTGTACACAAGCGTTTCATTGTCGAAATACCCTTCACTTAAACCTTTGGATACTAACGGCGGGTTCTGCGGTACATATTTTTCTAAAGCCGTAATCTGTTTCTTTTTTTTCCGTTTAAGCCCCAGAGTCTCGCACAGGAAGAAAAGTTGTGAGGCTGCGCGCTCATTAAGAGACATGGTTTAATTTTCTCAGAGGAGTGAAACTTTCTTAAATTCACTGTTATTGCATTCATAGTATAAGCGTATCTTACCGTTGAACGGATGCTTTATATTTCCACCGTTAAATTTCTTTCTTCAAACTGTTAAGGTTTTATACAATATATTTCAACCTCAGTAGTTAAGATATTGTTAGGCATTGTTTCATTTGAAAAACTGATGGTTTCAACAATCACGTGATCAAAAACTACAATCAATCCCATATAAAGATATATTCATAATGCAGAATGTCCTTTACTGGTCCAAGTTCACGTCTCGAGAAAAAGCAAACGATTAACTCATGATAGCGTCACGGGTTGTGTGACTTATGTGTTAAGTTATGAGCGAAGTTATGAGCGTTGAACACGTTATTAAGAATAGATTGGGGAGCGAAATATGGTCGATTTATCACGAGAAATATTTCGAGAAATCAACATTTAACACGTAAAATCAATAAAAGTACACACATCTTGTGTGTCCATATTAGTTTCTGGCGATTTCTGCCGTTTTAAGCTTACTTTGCCATCGCTGTTATTCCCATCCCCAGAGTGACACCTCGCATTAATCGAGCGTCCCAATCAACCAAGCAGACAGCTGTCCCCGTGATAGGTCTGCAATTCCTGATCCATAATAGGAATGCACGATACAAGCGGCACCAGGATCGTGCATGCTATACCACTGGAACATACCACAGAAACCTTTTCCAGCCGCTCGAAAATTGTTGATGACTTCCCTTACCACAGTAGACTTACCAGTTCCCCCCTTGGCCAGTCCCTAAAAAGTTATGACCCTTACAAGCCAAGCATACAATCTCCGCCCGTCCGTGAGATAATAGAACGCTCAAATTAACGACATCCTAATAACCACTAATACTCTATTGAATATTATGGAGAACGAGTTGTCTCAGGAAGAAAAATTATGAAATAACATAATGAACATCACTTAACGATCTGCGTGCTCAAGGAATTGGCTGAACTAATAGAAATTTTATTGTCCTTTACAATGAATTTCCGGTGACTAAATAGGCATTAACACCAACATAACTGTAAGGGGATAGATTAAGGGTAATTCGGCCAAATCTTGCAGGCTTTTCTTTTTATCCAGAAGTTTAGTGACATCACCTTGGAAAGGTAAATGCAATCGACGGTAGGGCATCATGTGGACAATTGTGTGATCATCTCGGTAATGAACCAAAAGAACGGTGTTTCAATAAAATCGAGCGAGGGAATTTCCAGTACAAACATTTTGGACGGTACATTATTTAAACTGTCGAATAGTTCTCGAGAAAACTAGAGCAATTTTCTCATTAATCATTCTTGTATTATTCATGAATAAGAAATAAAATAAAGTGATCCTAATGGTCTGCATTGCACATACGTTTTGACAGCCGGTTTAACAAAATCAATAAACTAAGAATGGGGAAACTAGAACTTATATTGTAGACTATTCCTTTCTGATTCCTTTCTGATTTCTTTTGATTTCCATCGATTTTTCATTAGCTGAATCTGTATTTTATTCTTGTCTTTTTTGTTTGTTTTTAAGCAAAGCGAATAATGCCTCAAAAACAAATCAGCGAGTCAGGCTATGACACATGGCAGCAGTTTGTTTCCTTTGAGAAAAGGTAGTTTCCTTACCTCACAATACATGATATAACCAAGCCTCTTATTCTTCAATCTTCTTCATTGATTGAATCAATGAGCTTCATCATCAATTAAGAAGGGACTCTCTTTTCCCATTTCTTTCTGTTTCCGGTTTCCTAATTATCTGCCTTAAGAAAATTGAGACACTGGGAAGAGTAACTTTTTTAGTTTCCTCATACGATTAGAAAGACCAGAAGTTCTAGTTCGATCACAAATCCTGTGACAAATTCTTAGTAATAATGAAACTTATTGATTTTCAAATATGAATGTAGTTTAAGTCAGGCACAACTGTCTATCACCTGAGTGAAATGTGAACAAAGGTAGAAAAAACTGAATATTAAAACCAAAACTCTTAGCAATTTATTTTTTTTATGCGATTATCATTTGGTGTCTAGTTGTTTATAACCTGTATGAGCTTTCTTAACATTGATTTATTATATTCCAATTGTAACTGTTTTAAAACTACAATTAATTCCATTGTCATTCCTTTAAGCCCATTTGCGGATAATCTTTAAGTTCTCTTTGAAGTTTGTAAGACTTTTCACTAATCTTCAGACTGCTCCAACATCGAGGATGTACATAATAGATTTTTGGCTTTTAACGTTCACTCACAAAAAGATTAAAGACAGAAATCGGTAGGAATATGATTCAACCTAAGGGCAAAATGTTTCTTTTACATCACGTGACGAGATGAAGGAACCAAAAAACCTAGGTCAAAGTATAATATATAGATTTAGCCAAACCTAAAAGCGGAGCTCGTATTTTTTTTCCCCCGCACGTCTCAAGGGCACAACGCCTTACCCCGGCCAGGACTAGAACCCGGGTCGCCCAACTCGCAGCCCAGTGCACTGACCACTGAACTACTGGACAAAGCCGTGGCGTTGGCGTGCCCGCGGTAAAGTTGACCACGCATGTTAAAAGAAGCACCTTGTATGGTCGTACGGTCGTACTTCCAAATTTTTTCGGCTTGATGGGCTACTAATATTTTACATAATTTTGGGGCTACGCTCTGCGAGCTCCGCTATTATTTACGACAGTGACCCAGTGAGTTAAGTCTAGTTTCTACGGTTCGCTTACCTGCGAGTTAACAAAGTTGATGTACTTCAACACGGAAGCTGAGTCAGTTCAGTAGTAAACTTGGTCTGCTGTCATTTCCAATATTGGAATTGAAATTTCATGTATGGGACTTGCTTCTTCCATGACAAACGCACAGTGAACTTGGTTAATGACATTTTTCAAACGGAAGTCAACGACGGCTGAAATTCATTATCATGGCCAATTTACATTGTCAACTCAGTTGGTAAAGCCAAATAGTTTTTTAATACCCCACCAAAGTTTCTTCAAAAACTTACCCCGTTGTTTATAGAAACTATGCATGTGGAAAGTTCTCATTGCAAAAGTTAAAATAAAGTCTGTCAGTTTTTTTATCTTTGTCCAACGACTTTACATCATTTAATTTTCTGCAAAAATCCCAACTTGAGGAAAATGAAAGGTGACCAACCGACTTCTTCACTTTTTTGTTTTTAAGTGGATATTGTGAGTTCTAACACTTTCAGCTTGTTACAAATAGTTTCCGGGTGTAATCGACCCAACCCGTTTTTGTAACTTAACATGTGTGTTCCTGTTTGAAGTGACTCGTTATTAATCAAGATTATCGACCATTTAGTATTGTGTTACTAAAAATAATGTTTCCCTGATAACAGTTGAGGATTGCAATGGAAACCTAACAGCAGAAGCCATGACACCTTTCATGAGCCTCGCCTTATTTGTTGCCCTGTTCTTGCTCAACTCAGATCGCATTCAGAAAGCCATTGAGATATGCAGCGAATGTTTGATTTTGCTAAATGGCACCGATCAAAACAGCAAAGACCAATTTGATTCAGCACTGCTACAATTTTACAGCGACATCTATACCATTCTTTTCAGCGCTTATCGTCATATCTCTGACTACATAAGTGCGGAAAGATACGGAAGGAAACTGTTTGACTTATACAGAGGGTATGGAATTATGCTTTATAAACTTGGCGAAAGCCTAAAAGCAAAGGAATATTTTGAGAGGGCCCTTGCCATAACAACCAAACTTGGCGACAGACGAGGGGAAGCATCATGTTATGGAAACCTAGGAACTGTGTTTACGTCGCTTGGCCAATACGACAAGGCTGAAGAGTATCTCCAAAAAGCGCTTGTCATCACAAATGAAATTGGCGACAGAGGAGGGGAAGCATCATGTTAGGAAACCATCACAAGGTACAAGGGAAGCATCATGTTATGGAAACCTAGGTACTGTGTTTACGTCGCTTGGCCAATACAACAAGGCTGAAAGAGTATCTTCAAAAGCGCTTGTCATCAGAACTGAAATTGGCGACGACAAGGAAACCTAGGAAAGTATGGCCAATACGACAAGGCTGAAGAGTATCTCCAAAAAGCGCTTGTCATCACAGCTGAAATTGGCGACAGAGGAGGGGAAGCATCATATTATGGAAACCTGGGTACTGTGTTTAGGTCGCTTGGCCAATACGACAAGGCTGAAGAGTATCTCCAAAAAGCGCTTCTCATCACAACTGAAATTGGCCACAGACAAGGCGAAGCATCATGTTATGGAAACCTAGGTACTGTGTTTGCGTCGCTTGGCCAATACAACAAGGCTAAAGAGTATCTCCAAAAGCGCTTGTCATCAGAACTGAAATTGGCGACAGAGAAGGGGAGGCAACTGACTACGGAAACCTAGGTACTGTGTTTATGTTATGGAAACCTAGGTACTGTGTGTTTACGACAAGGCTGAAGAGTATCTCAAAAAGCGCTTGTCATCAGAACTGAAATTGGCCAATACGACAAGGCTGAAGAAACCTATCTCCAAAAAGTCGCTTGGCCAATACGACAAGGCTGAAGAACAAAAAGCGCTTGTCATCAGAACTGAAATTGGCGACAGGAAGCATCATGTTATGGAAACCTAGGTACTGTGTTTACGTCGCTTGGCCAATACGACAAGGCTGAAGAGTATCTCCAAAAAGCGCTTGTCATCAGAACTGAAATTGGCGACAGAGAAGGGGAGGCAAACTACTGTGTTTACGGAAACCTAGGTACTGTGTTTACGTCGAAATTGGCCAATACGACAAGGCTGAAGAGTATCTCCGACAAAAAGCGCTTGTCATCACAACTGAAATTGGCGACAGAGGAGGGGAAGCATCATGTTATGGAAACCTAGGTACTGTGTTTGCGTCGCTTGGCCAATACGACAAGGCTGAAGAGTATCTCCAAAAAGCGCTTGTCATCAGAACCGAAATTGGCGACAGAGAAGGGGAGGCATCTGACTACGGAAACCTAGGTACTGTGTTTACGTCAAGGCTTGAAGAGTATCTCCAAAAATACGACAAGGACTGAAGAGTATCTGTTATGGAAAAAAGCGCTTGTCATCAGAACTGAAATTCAAAAAGGCTTGTCACAGACGACAGAGGAGGGAAGCATCATGTTATGGAAACCTAGGTACTGTGTTTAGGTCGCTTGGCCAATACGACAAGGCTGAAGAGTATCTCCAAAAAGCGCTTGTCATCACAACTGAAATTGGCGACAGAGGAGGGGAAGCATCATGTTATGGAAACCTAGGTACTGTGTTTACGTTGCTTGGCCAATACGACAAGGCTGAAGAGTATCTCCAAAAAGCGCTTGTCATCAGAACTGAAATTGGCCACAGAGAAGGGGAGGCATCTGACTACGGAAACCTAGGTACTGTGTTTACGTTGCTTGGCCAATACGGCAAGGCTGAAGAGTACCTCCAAAAAGCGCTTGTCATCAGAACTGAAATTGGTTACAGAGAAGGGGAGGCAACTGACTACGGAAACCTTGGAAGTTTGTTTAGAACTGTTGGTGATTTTGAAGCTTCGGAAGTATGCTTGGAAAAAGCTTTATTCATATCCAGAGATATTGGAGATGGAAGAAAAGAGTTTGAAATCCTCCGAGGCTACGCCGTTTTGTATTTATATCAAGGTAAAATCAAAGACTCCCTGTCGTGTCTTCACCTGTGCATTGAAAAGTATGAGGAGCTGAGATATTTCTTGGGCGCCAATGATCAGTTCAAAACATCACTTCTGGAGGACACTGGAACATTCCCCTACAAGCTGCTTTGTACTTTGCTTTGTGACACCGAAAATGCTCGGGATGCTCTTTATGTTGAGGAGTTGGGTCGAGCTAGAGGCCTATCAGACTTAATGGCAGAGAAGTACTCGGTTGAAACGCACATCTCTGCTAATCCACAATCTTGGTTTGGCATTGAGGACATTTTAAGAAAGAAAAGAAACTGTACTTGTCTGTACATTTCTTATTTCCAGAATCGTCTGCATTTGTGGATCTTGAAAACAAGTGGAGTCCTTCACTATAGAAGAGTATCACCAGAAGAGAATCTAGTTCAGGCTGGGTTACCCAAAGATTTGTCTTTGAAACAATTTTTGGATTATAATTTCCGGAGTCTTGGTATTTTGCCCACTAAAGATTGTGAAGATCGGTCTTTAAATACGATTAAATTGCAACCTCTCTCTCCCGCGCAAAAGAGCTCAGCAAGATTGCGACTCGTGGAGGAGGACGAGGACGAGGACGAGGACGAGGACGAGAAAGTGATTTCAAGTCTATACTTGTGTTACAAAATGTTCATTGCCCCCGTTTATGATTTGCTTGATGAGCCTGAAGTCATTATTGTTCCTGACCGCAGGTTGTACAAAGTTCCCTTTGCTGCCCTGAGTGAAAAGGAGGGAGCCGAATACTTGTCAGAGACTCATAAGATCCGTATCATTCCTTCGTTGACAACACTCAAGAACATTCAAGATAGTCCAGAGGACTATCACAGCAACACTGGTGCCTTGGTAATAGGCAATCCCAAGGTTGATTGGCTGCAACCATTACCAGCTGCAAGAAAGGAAGCGGAGATGGTCGGACGACTGGTGGGTGTTCCGCCTCTAGTTGAAGAGAAAGCAACGAAGCAGGCGGTACTTGAGCGGATAAGTTCAGTGAGCTTGATACATTTTGCTGCCCATGGTAACGCGGAAAGAGGGGAAATTGCACTCTCCCCCAATCCCTGTCCCAACAGTCAAACCGCTATCCCACCGAAGGAAGCTTACATGTTGACGATGGCTGATGTCTCACGAGTGAAAGTCAGAGCTAAACTGGTGGTACTTAGCTGCTGTCACAGTGGAAGTGGAGAGATAAGAGCCGAGGGAGTTATAGGAATTGCCCGTGCGTTCTTAGGATCCGGTGCTCGCTCGGTGTTGGTTGCGCTGTGGGCCATTCCAGACAAAGCAACAGAGCAGCTGATGAGTCGGTTTTACGAACACCTCAATGAAGGTGGAAGTGCCAGTGAATCCCTTCATCAGGCCATGAAGTGGATGAGAAAAAACCCCTTGAACAAAATCTCTGAGTGGGCTTCGTTTACGCTGATTGGAGATGATGTGAGACTCGAGTTTGACAACCAGCGGCAAGACTCGGTGAGAACAGGTATTTTATAAATTAAAGTTAAATTAGATGTGAGGATGGTTATATATATATATATATCTATATATATATGTAAATATATATATATAGATATATATTTACGCACCCTTTTTTTTCCTTTTTCAAGAGTTACTATCTCCGCTCTCTGGTGTAAAATATAGAATCTCACAGATGCCTCTCTACCAACGAGACACAAGTAATAGCCAATTATTTTTATATATCGTGCTTGGTGTAATTGTGTTTGCTTTATATCCAAAATATTAATTGAGGTAATAATAAATTGGTTTATTTTAAATTTTTTCTTGCAGGAAAAAAGACCCCGATAGAGTAAATAACGACAAGTGCTCGAAGGGAACAGAGTTAAAAGACTTTTAGATGGATAAATTAAATAGAAATAAGTAGAGAAAATACTCTATCCGGTATTTCATTGACATTAAAAAAAAGAGCTATCCCAGGTTAGGGGAGATTTATTCCAATTTTTGCTGCTTTCTTTTCTGATATTCTCAGGAGGAGGTACTGATTATGTACTCACCATTTTTTATGTTTTTCACGCAAAAATTATATTCTGATATAATAAGCACGAAACAATGTTGACCTACGTAAGGCTTTTGAGTAAAACGAATTCAGTAAAGTTAAGACAGTAGTTTAAGTATTAAACAAACCACTAAAATCTGGTTTAATTTTTGTTTTTTCAATTTTTTTTTTGTAAGGTTTAGTTATTAAGAATACCTTCCATATTTCAAGAATGAATTTGATGTAGCATCTTAAGGGATCCTTGTCAACCACGCCTCTGTTTTTGTCAATATACGGGTAACTGCGGAGAGATTCGTTTATACTAGCTCAACGCCTAGCAGGAGTCGTGCCGGCACGTAAACACTTTAAGTAGTGTTAAGATAGGATTCACAAAAGGAGAAGCGTTGCGCATCCTAAAAATAAGTCCGAAGCACCTCACATTTAAAAAAAATCGTACAGAGCTTAAAAATACGACTAAAAGAGGGAAAAGAGGATACCTGACGAACTTCTGGAGAAATACGTGTCTGAAGTTATCTGCTCCAGTAGAGAAGGATCACTTCCGGCTTTACAAAAGCTCAAGAACACGCTGATGTGGAAATGTCACATTCAAAATCACATCGCCAAAAAAACATTAAGGTATATCCTGGCCAGAACTGATCTTTGGAGACAGAAGTTTAAAATCGCTTGCAGATGGCGGGAGTGTCATGCGGGCATGTCAATACTTCAATTTTTAACTGGTCACTTGCCTCTTGTGCTATGCACCCTGCGCGAAGCTTGTCGACTCTTAAATGCAGAAAAATCTCTGCCAATTGGCTATGAGTTAGATCTCTGAAATATGGTAGTAATCATGTCTTGGAATAAAGAGATCATCTGTTGTAGAATAAGTTGATTCGTAACACCCTGTATGTAAGGAATAACAGCAAAACCAGTCGCTGGTTCCCTTTCATCAAGAGCGTTACTATTTGTAACTGGTTTTGGCAGTTACGGAAAAAAAGTTTTTTGTAGAGCCATTTGCCCATTTGGATTTTAGTGAAGAGCGAAACAACGTCGAAAGATACTAATTCTTCACAAGCGTTAAGAGTTTTATCTTTTATGAAATCCGCAAATTCGCAGGAATTTTTGACCGTGTAATCAGTATTCCCAACAAAAGGCGACAAAATTCTCGCAAGATAACCAGAAATTGCATAAGTCGGAGAATTAACAAAAGACACAATGGTCTCAAAGGAATTCCCGGTTTATGAATTTTTTTATAAAAACGTGGACATAAGCCGTCACTACTGTCTAACATTTTGTACGTAGAGTCACTAATTTTACCAGCTTTTTGCAAATCAAGCAACATTTTGTTTAACTTTCTTTGAGGTTTTACTGGTAGGATCAGATTTTAAGACAGCATACGTACTCTTGTCATTAAGCAGAGTCAAAGCTTTGTCGTGATATTGCTGTTTGTCCATTACCACAACACAATTACCCTTGTCAGCAGATAATACGTGCCTGTCCGGATCCTTTTTGAGAGCTATAAGTGCATTGAAAACATCCTTTTGAATGTTTTTGGGGGGGGTTTAGATCGTGACGATGGTGGTTTGCTTCCTGACGCTTATTTACACCTCGTCAGAAAAAAAAAGGCCGCTAATTAGTGATCATATAAAAGGACCTCTTGTTACAGCGTCTAGATAACCCCTGATGAAGGCACTAGACAGGAGAAAAACGTTTGGTCTATGAATTGTAACTTCGGTTACATTCATTAAATCTGCAAACCAGAGTAGCATCAAACTATGTCTGATTGTCCAGCTGGCTGCCGTGTGAACTTTAATGTATTAGATAAGAAGGCATTTGCTTACCTTGGCTCCTTTGATCACTGAACCAGTCGGCCTACGGTTGATGAAGTTCGGGATCTTTTGGTCGGTAACGGCCCATGGAAGCGCGCTTGACAAGGTGATACAAGATGTCCTACTATTGCGCCACTTCCAAACCATTGATTCGGAAATTCCGTATTCCCTCGCTATCTCTCGATTGTTGTTAACAGCTTCAGTTACGATTTTCAACTTAAAGTTGAGATCGTAAGAATGACGGCGAGTGTTTGGCATGAATATGCTGAATGTAGACTTCGCAAGATAATGTTAACCAGGTGAAGTAAATTTGCGACTACTGATTTTGTTGATCGAATTGTTTTTATACTTTAAAACCATGTTTCCCGAGAGGGAAGGCTAAAAATTAATGTGTACCGATAGGTTGTCATTAAATGTGTGACTTTTTTGCGTTTTGTTTATCACTGTGATTAAATGTGTGACATTTTTCGGCTTTTGTTTATGTGTGTGACATTTTGCTTTTGTTTAATCAAGGCTTTTGTTTGTGCGCGTGGTCGCGTGTGCGACAATTCTGCTTTTGTTAATTAACGGTAAACTAAAATCAATACGCGACTTTTTCGCTTTTTTGTAAGTTTATGAAAGAATTTACAATAAACTTGACCGATCTTTACTCCCCAAACAACGATGCGCCTTATAACCAAGTATTTTAGCGATATTTTCAGTTTGAAAACATGCAATAATGAAATTGCTTAATTGGGGGTGCGTCTCATAGCCGAGTGCGCCTTATAACCGAATAACTACGGTAGTATGGAGGTAATTACCAGCACTGATCTGGTTCTTACTTGTTCTGCACTTTTCCATGCAGACCGTTCCTGTGAAACGATCATATTCCATGTATTTTTGTTTTGAAAGGCACCAAATTTAAAACTAAAAAGTTTAGTCCAGTTGCAATGTGATGAATCACTTGCTAACTTTTCTTGCTAAAATTCTACTGAGGAATATTGGCCATCCGTTGTTTTTGTGAGGAACTCAGGAAAATGTTCTCTTGTATGGCCCTCAGGCTTGGTAAGAAGTTATCATTTGCAGTTAAGGCTGAATTAATCTGCTGCAAATTTACATTTATAAAATGAATGAGAGACAGTTGATTTCATTTTGATTCATATTTTATATTTTTAATATGGTTGACGTGGTGGGCATGGTCACCACATCCACCGTGTAGGAGTGGCCTCTCCCTCCTAAGTTGAAAAATTTTTTTATTTCTTTGATAGAAAAAAAAAATGAAAAGTTGAGGTAAGGCAATGCACTTGCAAGGAGATGTTACCCAACTGACAACTATACTCACAAGATCTAAATAAAAATCCCTATTTGTATTATCATAGATTTTTATCTTTCAATGCCTGCTTATGGCAGCTTTTGTTGGATTGGAAATAAAACAGTCTTTGTATATGTGTATCTGCTGGAAACTGTTGCAATGGACCTTCAAAGGGTTTTTCATTTGATCTGTATTAAATTTTAATTTCTTTGTCAACAGTCAAAAATAATCATATAGTATCACCTTTTTTTTTCCTCCTCACCTTTAAATCTTTGAAAAATTATTTAATCTTCTATTTGAGAATTGTTAAGAAATGGAATTTATTTTAATACAAATATGGATTTACACTGTTTAGTAGTATCATTTGTGGCTCTAATGAAACAAACAATGTATTTTCACAGTTGTTAGCTTCCAATCTTTGTTGGACAGTAAGAAAAAATTTTGGTATGTATGAAATGGAAGCATCATACCATGGAAAATGCTTGAACAATTTTTATCCACTTGTTGCGTTGATCAAAAAAATTCACTAGTTCACTAGGCTCACATGTTAATTTTTGTTTGATGCAATAAATCTCATTTGTGCACACTTTCCATGGAATAATCTCTGTTTGTTACAGATTGAAAAATATTTCTTGGGCCCCATACTGTTTCTAAAATTTAACTTCTTTTTGCATGAGCATGATAAATTAAAGATTTTCTAAATACTGTGGAAAATGGCATCTAAAACAAATGTTAGCCCAGTTTATTGTAATGTCAGTTGTTGTTAGGTTACTGTTTACTTTACTTCACCATTCCACTTCTTCTTCCCCTTCTCTTTTTTACTATTTTTCTTGTCCACATCTATTTTATGAAAAAACCAATACTTGGTTTGAACAAGTTTATTAAAAATACTGCACAAGTTCTATAACTGTATTAGAAAAGGTTTCTCTGAAGTGACAATATTGAACCAAGTGATGGTAACATTGCAAAATTATGAACTTCTACTTTACTGGAAATGGTCAAAGGAAAAACAGTTTGCTAACCAGACATCATTTCTTATTGCTTAGACTTTAACAGGAAAGTTGTATTTCAAGGAGGCTATGGTGTCACTTTTCCAACTTCCTACAGAGGGGAAAGACTATTCACTGTGTACAGTTGCATGACATTTTGTGGAATCATAGCATTATAGAAGAAAAGAAAATATTACCGTTGACACTTACCTAAATCACTGCCTGCAGGGGTGGTCCTTCAGGTAGATCTTCATCATCTATTGTATAAAAACTAAACGTATGTAATTGTCAATTGAGAAAAAAAAAAAGGTATTTTATTTAAATCAAGGTAAAGCATTATACAATGAGCTAACCTAACAAAACTTCATTGCACAGAGTTTAAAAGTGAAATTGTG